GGATAATGAAACATAATCATTGTAGTCTTTGGGGACTTAAATTAGAAATATTATATGAAGTTAAAATATAATAATAATAAAAATAAACAATTTTTTTCTTGTTTGAAAATACAATAAAAAGTAACCCGCCCAATGTTCTGTGAAGTGTTTTTGTTATAGCTAGTAGAGCGACTATGGCTTAAAGGCCTAAGAGAAAGTATAATATTTTTAATTAATTGGCAAAAGAATATTATATTATTAAATTATACTTTTATATTCTTCACGAAATTTAATTCTATCAAATGTTTAAATATTGATTTCCTTCAGTTAAATAAAAAAGTAACAATAAAATATCAAACGTTCCATAAAAAAAAATTTTTGTTCGCAGGGTTATCAAAGTTATAAGGTACATGTTATTACATTATACGTAGAATATTATTAATTGAATACAAATTCTAGAATACGAATCTGGCAGGTTTAATATTAATATCGATTTCAATCGAAACAAGTTTTTACTGTTCTCGTGAAACGTAATCAACTCCAACCGAATAAATCGACAACAATGTCGGTTAATTCTCTCATTGACCGCGAAAGATGCAATTAATAATTTCTCAATATAAAATTAAAGAGAATAAAAAGGTACTATCAAAGATACTATCAAATTTCAGTACTAAACGGCCCATTAGATTGGGCCGTTTAGTACTGAAATTTGATTCCAATGTAGACTAACTGGCCGTTTAGCGGAACTCGAACTTACGTCACAAATAGGTACTTTTCGTGTCATCTAAATCACGTGACCGGTTATACATCTGTTCTTACCATATTATGAACTGATTGCTAATCGTGTTATTTTTTATTGCCTCTTTTATTTCTTGGTTTAAGGGAATCCCGCTAAGTTAGGGATATAGTTGTAAATTATACATATAAAGGAATATCACCGTTGTTGTTTATTATGGCCCGAATAAAAAACAGTGGAACTTTTTATCAATTGATGGCATGCAGATTAGTAATATAAATTATATCTTTCATACCTTAAATGGCGAACGAAACCGCTAGGGAATTAAAACAATAATAAATTATGAAAGATAAAAATCTTTATATTATTAATAAATGTAACAAAACATGAGTCTATAGAAACAAGATTGATTTTATCAACATGAAAAGAAACAAACAAAAAAAGATTATACATAGACAATACATAAGGAGTTTATTTTTTACACGATATGTATAGGGTTCTAGTTATAAGGGTTCTAGTTCCACTATATGTTATAGTAAAAAACGGTATTCATGTAATAACATACAAAAAAATAATTAGGGGTAAATATTAATGTATGCATATAATTCTGCAAGGAAGCACGTTACTGTTTAGACCATAAACTCTACTGATATTGATACTCTACATATAAACTCTACTACTATTTAAATGGCAGGATCTAACACTAATCACAACAATAGCCTAGACGGCTATTGTTGTGATTAGTGTAGATACGTATATACGGCACCGATAGTAGATACGGCACCGAATTCACTCTATATTTTTAATCAATCTTGGTCTACTGAACGTTTAGAAACTACCAGTAAGTGAAATTCAAACCGTAAACATAAATTTTACAACCAAACAAACGTGAAGTGTTTGTTATCTCAGAACTTTTTACTACGTAAGCTGATTTCAATGATTCTTTTTTATTTGAAGGGAGGTACTTCCCATTTGGTCCCATATAGCTTTAATAAATATCTCACGAGTAGTTTTCGAGTTATCTTTAACAATACGATTGAAGTAGTTTTTTTCGTGGCCTGAACACGGTACTATAGAGTACTGACGCATATGAATTAGTTAACAAAATGTTTTATGGTCAACACCTACTTATTATTTATATAGATTCTTAAATAAAATATTAGTCAACATTATGGGGAATTACAGACTGTAAAACAACTATAACTACTTATGGAATTGTCTCCGTTATTTGATGTCCAACACTACAATCTTTAAATGGATATGAGAAATATTTTCCTCAATTAGTCATTAACTAATTTAGTGAGTATCTTCGATCGAGTGGAATTTTAATATACCCAGGAATGTCTAAAACGGTCGCCTTTGTTTTGCTATGATATCTAAAATTACAGGATACATAGCTTAATCCTTAAAAGAATTAATATATAAATGTATTTGTGTAATCTATAATGTGAATTCATTTCCTTTTTATATAAATGGAGTAGATAGATAGATAATTGATTTATTGCCAACATAACACAAATAATACGATTTACAATAAGACACAAAATAAGAAATAAATAATAATATAGAAGTTGGCAATAGGAGCTGCCTCACCTGTTGCTGATATAAGCACAACCTTAATGAGGTACACCTATACAGCTCTGGTTTTCAGGAATTACAGGCCCCATTACTCATAAAAAAAAACTAAGATGCGGGTTTTTTACTAGATACATATAATTTAAACACCAAAAATATATATTAAATAAGATCTAGGATACACAAATATAAATATATATAAAATGAACTACAATATTCAATGCTCACAAAAACCAAAATCAGTTACAATAACAGTATCAAAAAGAAAAAAAAAAATACAAAATAAAAAGAAAAACCAATCCGTGTCACCGCTCATAATCACAGTATGTAATAATATATACGAGTATAAGCCCATAGACACCCATGAGACTATGATACCCGTATGTTATGTTAATATTCAGTTTCTCAATTACTTAAAATTTGTTTTTCCATTAAAACTCTTTTCAATTTACATTTGAAACTAAATTGGGATTTTTTAAGACGAAGTAGTGGGGGGAGATCATTCCAGATCTTTGCTGCAGAGAATCTGAAACCTCCTCTAAAAAATACAGTTTTATGCGCAGTCAATGCCATTTTGTCTGTATGTTTGCTTCTATTGTTCCGACTATGCTCATCTTTCATCCACGTAATTTTATCATACAAATATTCCGGTATTCCTTTGTGTACGACTTTAGGTATAAGACTTGCTAAATGTAGTTCTCTACGATAAGACATCTTCAATATACCTTTATCAATAGCAAGCAGGAAAGGGGTTTGCTACTAATGTGGAGTAATAAACCCAATGCTAACTATGCGCCACATCAGGTTACCTCCACGCGGTTCCCCCCGGAAACCATTGTGATATATTCCTGATAATTTACTACGGTGGATTAACTAACCTGATCTCATGTTCATTTTATCAACCTTCACTAGTGACTCGCCAACTCGCTAACTCGTAAACCATTAGCTCTAGCGGATGTAACATTCTATTATTATCAATAATAATAACCAAACAGATTTACTACTTGATGAATAGTAGCAACACTAGAAATATATAATAGACTGATCCCTGTAGAGTCTTTTATGTGTTACGATATCTGATGACTGAGTTTCCATGCTTCCCTGTACATTACAGAATACCTTATCTCATCCATTACTTTATTTTTAATTTTGTAATATTTTAGGATTATACCTATTTTTTGTTTATGTTCGGATAAAAGATGGTATTCTGCGCGGAGACTAAATAATAGGATAAAGGCAAGACAATGATAATGATGATTCGGTATCCTAAAAGATTTACGGTATTATATGCCTACCTAGTTATGTGAATTCATTCAATTATGTCACCTGCTTGTAAAATTGTCGGGAAAAATAAAAAAAAAACTCTTTATTAACTGGATTTTCTTAGTTTATAGTTTATACAGAGATAAAGTCAGACTTTAAACTAAAGTACTTTAAGCTTTATTTTTATTTAGTGTCAGTTGTGTGTGATATGCTGTACTACAGCATATCACAACTAAATATTGACCACAAAAATAAAATTATCCTGATAAATATTATACATAGAATGGTAGTAATAAAAAAATTCAAAACAGAAGACAATAAAAAAAAATATAAAGGATAGCTGGAAAAAGCGGTCCTATTGCTACTTTGTGTGGACAAAAGAATTTTATTCGATTTTGGTAGAGTCCTTTTTTTGCAAAAGTATACATACATATGCATACTCGCTACTTGATTACAGACTCCGACTAAATTAGAATAGCTATTTTGAGCTGCGCTAGTGACTTGGTGGAAAATGGAGAATAAACTCCAACGAAAAAGGACGTTAGTATTATTTATGAATGCAGCATCCACCTATAAATGTTTCTTTATATAGACGTAATATTTTTTCCTTCAGGGGTCTGTAAAGCTTTGGAAAATAAATTTTACAGCGAGTTACGGTTTCACATTATGCCGTCAGTCTTAAGGAAAATGGTTATTACTAGTTAACATCAAAATCTAAAGTGGTATTTCGCTTGTTTATATAACTGAAATGGAAAATTAGCTAACTGCCATCAGGTGGATGGTAAATGGTAAGCATCTAGTATATACACGTATAGGACCATGGACATTATGACATCATGTGGCGCCCAACACATGCGTGGCCGTTTTTTGGGACTAAGAAGTTTTACCTCGATAATTTGTAATACCACTGGCGTACCTACACCCCTTTGCTACATTCTTCAGAAACATAGGTTATAAAGTAAGCTGCTTAGCGGCTAAAATAGTAGAGACAGATATCCCCAGACATATGATCTGTACAATGTACCTCTCTGTCGCCTCCCTCCTGCTGCTTTTATATGTTTATTTATTTATTTTTTTGCACACAAAATTCTATACATGGTGGACTTAATGCCGGATGGCTTTCTCTATCAGTCAACCGTCGCGTTAATCAGAGATAGTATGGCGGTGTAATTTTACAAGTATTAAATAGGTTAATACAGAATAAATATACTTCTAAAATAAGCTTAATAATTATCATACAAATTAAATGTAATATTAAACTATAATAAATATGTTGTACTAGCTGTGCCCGCCATTTCACTCGCATGAAATTTATAGCCTATATGTTATTCTGATGTATAAGCTATATTACTGTAAAGTTTCATAAAAATCCTTTCAGTAGTTTTTGCATGATTATTTTCGTTTATAATTTTAGTAAGATAATGCAATATTATGTTTCTTGTTACAGATTTACCAAGATGTACATCAATAGTAGTAGTGTGAGTAACGCCGTATGTACAGCGCTCTTAGTTATATTAATAAGTAAGTACTTATTTACTACCTATTTTTCATACCTCTCATTTCATATTAAATTCATTAGGAATTCTAAAAATCTTCCTTTAAATACTGAACGTTTACTATGCTTGTAATTTAAGTACATATGTATCATTGTTAAAAGCTCTTACGTGAGTAATGCGAGTATTGCGTATATCTTAGTTATAAATTTTTGACAGTCCGGTGCTCAAGATCGAGTCAGTAGTACATCATATCGTAGCATACTTTTCTGCTGTTTTAATTAAATTATAGAGATATTATTTAAATAATAATACAGTGCGGTTTCAGAGAAGTTACTTTTCGCGTACACTTCAATTGTAAATGAACTACTTGCCGTGGTTTTCTCGAGAGACTACAGGATGGAGTTTTTCAAGAAGGGTTATATTAAGGTTTCTTAAGTGTAGGCAATGCACACGTGACAGCCTTGTGTTTCAGGCGTCCATAGGGTACGGTAATACAATCAAATAGGCCGTATGCTTATTTGCCACCTATGTATAATAGTATAAAATATATATATATAAATAAATATGATTGGTCGGGAACTCTTTACCTATTTATTGTAACCGGACAAAACGCAACAGTTATATCGGATATATTAATATCTAAGAAGTCGATATTTAATTATTTAATAGAAAACAATACAGGATCTGACAGCATCAGCTAATATAATTATATTACTCATAATAGGATTTCCTATTTCGTCAATAAATGTACAGTATTCATAATGTATGCATACGTACTGGTTTCCATGCATACCTATGTCTATGGAGATTTAATGATTTGGATTTTACTGGAATAAATTAATATTTTCAATTAATCTAATTAAGTCAGTGACTCAGCAAACTTACCTTCATATATAATAATTTGTGTTATATTATATCGTTATCGTCGGTTTGTAAAAGTATTTCTTAAAAAAATGATGGAAAACTTGTTTAGTCCGATATAAAAGAGATCTTTTATATCGGACTAAATAAGTTTTCCTTTGATCAAGTGAGCCGCGGGTAAAGAGTAGTATATGATAAAAAATAATGGAATATTATTCCAAACAAACAATGCAAGGGATATTCATATTATGTAAAATATAGGAATTGTTCTAAGCGGCATCGTGTAAATTTACATTTAATTCGCCTAGTTAATCTTATAAATTTTTCTATTTATAACTAATTATATTTGTGGCATTAACACATAAGGAGACCATTTTTAACATAGGTTTTAATTTTACCGCCTTCCTTCATATAATCGTGGGTTCGATTCTTCATGCGATACAAAGTTTATATGAGTGATTTGTATATGGTACATATTATATCTACAAAAATGTACTTAAGTGTTTCTATGAGTTATACCGAACTCATACATTATATTCATACTTATCATAATACATTTTGAACATTTTAATTAAAAACAATAATCTAATCTTTTTATATACATACATACTATACAATATTTCTTTTAAATATACTGGTAAATGCATTTTTTATTCATAGTAATTTTAAAAAAATCTGATTATATATACCTAACTACATATATACTTTCCAATTAATTGATAGACACGTTTATTTTATCTCATACATTATACATGATATAGAACATAAGGGCCTAAGTAAACACAGAATGAAGTTAATTTGAGAGGACTCCATAAGGGGCACTCTAAGGGGTTTTAAGGAAAATACGTATCACGGGAAATCCCTTGAAAAGAACCGTTAAGTGTTTTAACCCCGCATTGCGACCAAACAGGTAAAGATGTACCTTTGAGTTGACTGCATAGAAATTTTTATTCAAATACGAATATAGTATTTTAGACAGCGTCGGTGGTCTAGAAGTTTAGCAAACCGCTTCACTTCCGATGGTCGCGGCTTCGATTCCTCGTATGAAGCAAATATCTGTATTCATGAGTATGATTGTTTGTATCGATCTAGGTGTTTTTACTTAGATTTTTTTGTAAATATACATAATATTTACAAAAAAATCTAAGTATTGATATCAATTGTCTTTGTACCCATAACACAAGAACTGCTTAACGTGAGACTAGATGGCGCTGTGTTAATTGTCCATATTTATATGTTATAGGTTATTTATTTTACTAAACAGGTATCATATACCATTGAAGTATGTATTATAATCATAATGGCAAGCTCGGGGAAATCGTTTGGTTCATACAGAAGATATTCAGGTTTACATTAAGGATCCGCAAGTTTTAACATCTTGAGTGAATATTGGTATGGAGCTTATTCCACAACCAGCCACTATGTTAGTTATAAATAGAAAAAAAATGTCTTCTTTATAGATATATATATATATATATATTAGAAAGGTTTTTGAGTTTTGCAAGTTTCCTTCAAATTAAAAAGTTGCATCAATGAAAAGACAAAGCAGTTCAATAGCTAAAGTAGTATTTATTAGATCTTCTATATTTTCATAATCTTATAAGACTGTAAAAGTATTGTCGTTGGGTTATATTAGTTTTTACTTTATGTTTGTTTGTATTCCTTAGCGCGATATTTAACGAGATCAGTACTCCAGTTGTTTAGCATTCTAACAATAAAATAAATGAAAATTCGAGAATAGATTTTAAAACATACTGAGCCAAGTCAATATAGAAAATTTACTTTACAAATTGTCAATTGAGAATCAAATAACAAGCAACGTGTCTATCATTGGGCCCGTGGAGTTCGTCTTTTACTAATACATTGAGTTCGCATCTGATCCGCATTAGAATAGGTATGCCTACAATGGAATTTACTACTGAGTACTAGATATGTCGAGATAAAGACAGGAGATTCTGGTACGCATACAATTGAGTCGTGTGTCAGGCACGCACTGGATCCTAGCGAGAGCGGATTGTGTGTTCAATGGATTGAATAATATTACTATGGTGATGACTGACTGATCTTGATACTTTAGTAATAATAATATAGGAAAACATTCGTATAACATTAGAACAAACCTGAGTATTTAAGCGATTTACTATTGTGCCTGACTATGTTACAAACATTTGATTTCATGAGTAGATAAATCTGTTTATGGTATATATTTAAACATATATATAAATATTCAACATTGTTGTCCATCTTGGCCGTGATATGAAAATAATGACTTTATGTTAGAAAATTATAAAGCAACTGTGGTTATGAAGCAATATTTTACATCAGAAATAATAGTGAAGTTGAACAATGTATGTAACAATTATTTAGAGTATTAAAAATACTAGTTATCCGCGTATTCATCTGTTTTTGTCAAAAACTTTTATTTCTTATTCATTAATTTCCATTTTGTTTTGAGACAATTTAAATATGTATGTTCTTGTGATACATATATTCGTGATATATGTCTGCTATATATTAAATTTGCATTGATATATGTAAATAAATAAATATTTTATTTGAGAATCATATGTTCAAAACATATGAATTCAGTAGTTTTAGTTTAGCGTTGAGTCAATTACGTACCTCTATAAAACGATTACTATAGGTTTTTATACAGTTACTACAACAGTTGACAGCAAATAATTGAAACAAAATAAGATAGATAACTCGTGGTGTCAGAATCGTGCTTAAACTGTTTACCGGTATCTATAAATGCTATTGCAATGAGAGTTTAATGATTAGACCACTAGCGCTGAAACGTGATCTTGTACATAATGAGACAAGTCCATTTACAGCGCTGATAAACCACGAATTGGCAATTAACATTTGAAGTTCATCATTATCGAAATATCTCCTTCACATTTAACGTCAAGATTCTTTATAAATCTATTTATGAGCTCCTGATGTATTATCACTAGTACTCGTAGTGCACGTGATTTCTTCCGTACAAGCGGAAGAAATCTATTAACAACAGAAAAAAGCAATTATTGCATAATATACGACAAAATTGATATTTATTGAATATTATTAATACATTAATTAATAAAAACAGATAGCAGGTAATAAACATTAACAAGAAATAATTACAAATTTGCTCCTTCAGTATTTTGATAAGGTTTAGTATGTTTTGTTGGATAAATTCAATGAAATAGATAACTGCATTATTTATAATTATAATTATCAAGACTGTTTGTGTAGCGTAGGCTCAGGTAAAGATGAATAGTACGATTAGTCGAGCAAGTCAGTACAGGGTTGATTGGTGTCGCGACATTTGTTGCGCGACAGTAGCGCGATTGAATGAGCCATATTAATAGCGTTTATTTTAGAATTGAATCATTCGTAAAATGATAGACTAAGCAAAAAGTTGTCTGCGAGGATACATGATTCTAACCTATTTCAGCCACTATGCAGCTTGCTTTGTAAGCTTTATTTCAGTTGTAGAGTTCAGGTTAAGCAGTTAAATTAAAGTAAATGGAGGCATAACGAAAGTTCTCGATGATGGGAATACATGAGTACTATTACGACGATTACATGGTAACATGGCATCGATTGCCACAAGCTCGGTTATCATTCGAATTAAAAAAAAGACTATAGTACATATATATTTTGTACTATATTTTTACTACGTTATAATTTATAAAATTCTAGCCTTTAACCCGCGGCCTCGCTGGCTTTAATGTTGATTTTGTCAACATTAATTATAAATAGTAATTATGTAAATCTCGATAAATATCGGACGACGCAGTAAAAAGTTTCATCCAAAACATGGTTCGCTTTGTCACATTTTTATTAGTTACCAATGAATATACCTAGTTCATTTTATATTCTTCGACACCCACACAGTGAATCCCGAACAAATATTTGAACAGGTTTAATTTTGGGTTTATTTCTGCATACAAAAATTTGTTACGTTGTCATGAAATAAAGTGCGGGGGAGGAAGGCTATGTTTTTTTTTCAATTTCCCAAATCATTTTCATTTCAATCAGTTTTGTTATGTCGTAATGACAAATCAAACTACAAGGCTTACTTTTACATTTCAAGTCATTTCGAATCCCCTTGTATATCACATCAAAGATAAGTCTCAGCATATTTTACAAAGAGCCGATCACAGTGGTAATAAAATTAGTACGTAGCGGAAAGTCGACCGTATACTGACTTAAGAAAAATAATATAAATTAACTAACTGACTCGGCAATTAATATCGCCATTAAAAAATGGAAGCTGATGATGAAGGGCAAAAATTTTGGGTTTTAATGCCGAAAGAAATAAATTAATAAAACTTTTGTCCATAAATAAAATAAAAATTTAGGAGTTAACCATTCTTATTATATCAGGGGCATAAAAAACAGTTTACATTGTATTTTTAGAGCTACGGAATATACACATAAAATTTCATAACAATCGGTTAAGCCTTTTCGGAATATTGATACAAACAATATTACACGACAATTTTATATATTAGAAGATATATTATTCGTGAATAGGTATATAATGTTTTTCAGCAACAACAACAGTAATATCGGCAAAATATAAATCTTCTTCAATACTAAGTTGCAACAGAGTCACGATTTATGTGGATTAAAGCGATTTCCCTTTAAGCGTATGTTAACTGGCAATACACACGAAATATTTAATCTGTAAACATTAATTTATTCAGGAAATATTAACTGTATAACTCGCCGGTGCACATACGCGGAATGTTTCATAAATCCTTCATTAAGTTCCATTAATTAGAGTACACCACTTTTGGGCTTAATGTAATGAAGAGATATAACTTCATTACTTATATTTATACTGTGTGCTAGGTATAAAATATTAACGTGACGTATAGCCGTACATACTTTATCTACGTACTAGTGACTCGTCATGGTTTTGTTCAGGTCCTCATAACATTCTGATTATTGCATATTATTGCAAAAAATGTTACTCTGGACTAATAAAATAGTGAAATAATACCATTTTTTGTAAGAACGAAACAGGTTTCTTGAACTTTCCTCAAATAAATTACTAGTGCGTAAGAAGGCTTTTGAGAATACAACTACTCATTTCTTGAAGATTTTAAAATCGCATCCAACTTCTACGGTGTGCTTGCGTATGGCGAAAGGTTTTGGAAAATTACACAGTAGAAGTTTGCCATTCATACAGAAGATAAAGTACGGAATTATATTGTGAGGAGCTTATTATATAATTTTATTTACAAAATTCAATAAGGTGTCTCTCAATTCGCCTGTATTTTATGCCAGAGTTAAATAATAATAATTGATCTAAGAATCAAATTTTATTCAAAATCATCCACACAGATTTAATAAACTCTAAATAGTTCAAATAAAAGCTATAAGAGCTATTAGAGTAAATCCATCAAATAAAAAAAAATATATATAACAGTATTTTAATAAATAAACTCTCAAACAGTTGATAAGAGTTTCAAATATTGGTGATAGCTGTAGAGAAGTTTTGATTAATATCTTAATTCAAGTTTTCGATCAACAATTATTTATTGTTAATCAAAGTTTGAAGTCACGTAATTAATCCTTTAGGGATTTCCGCAACTGTTATATCAGGTAAAATCGAAGTAGCGTGCCGTTAACATAGGTTTGTTAACGATTTGATTTATTGACATAACACTTTTATGTATATTTATAGTTATTGAAAAAAATAAAATAACAAACAAAACGTTAACGTTTTGTAAATATAATTGTTAAAATCACTCGCAAAAACTACATCCTTGATGTTTCATAATTGAATCGATGCGTAAATAAAAAACAGAATAGAAATCGTGCTTTAACTTTGCGTTAAAAACACTTATATATAGATGACGTAAGTACCTCAACTTAAATGAAAAGTACGTTCAGATCATTACTGGATCTTATTCATCATGATTGACAAGGACAAAAAGTAGTCAAATCAATACTATAACAATTAAGAGAGAGAGAAAGCGAGAGAGCAGATTTAGTTATAAGATACCTGTGATATAAGTATCCTGTGAAACTGTATCAATTTGAGATATTTTTTTTACTGTTCAAAAGATAGACTGTTGCAGAACTTTGCAGAACTTTGTAACTACAAAAGCATATATTATTATTATGAATATATGTTCAAAATTCACAAGTAATCATGATCTTGGACTAGTTGTTAATGATAATGTAGGGCATGTACAAATTCATTTTGCATTTATAAATATATATTCTACGAATGTGTACAAATACAAATCTTTCTTCTGCCTGGAAAAGAGTTTTACAGAATTTTAAAAAGTTATAATTTATGTAACACACTTTTCACCAGAAACTTGCATGCAAAACACATGACGTTAACAGTAGATGAGGGTCTAAAATTATTATAAAATTCATATTAGTCTGAAATTAAGTGATTTTTCATTACTTTTATAAACCTCCCGTAAAAAATGGATTTAATCAGGCAGGTGATTTGTGCTTAGCAATTTAAATGAGTTGGACCCTTGAGCGCCACTTTGGGATTCTTAAATATTTTTAGGGTAATAAGTAATTGGCATAATTAACAACTTTTTCACTTTTACTAAAAGTTTGTCCTCTTGTAAATTTGACTAATATATATATATATATATACATTTCTAATGACTAAGAAGTCATATATCTGGAGAGATAGAGCTCTTTAAAAACATAATATACATTAGATAACGTTGACAATAAAAAAAAATGCATTGTAGTATTTATATAATATGTCACTTGTTTCAGGTATCACAGGCATAAACACACAGACTGACATAGTTACAACAACAAATGAACCTCCAGAGCTAACAACACTTGAAGATAATTTTACTCAAACTTACATAAATAACCGACAATCTAGAAAAAATATTGCCAGCCTTGATGATGTCACCATGGATCAAGAAGAAGTAAATGATCCTCCCGAAGTTCACAATGTTAATATACTCTCAGAGAAAATGAGACCAGAAAGCGCTTCAAGAGTAATAATGCCCGTGAATTTTAATAATACAGTTAATAAAATAACGTTTGATGGACAACCAGATACTAGTTTTCCTAGGCATATATCAAAACCAGTGGTTGAAAGAAAACCTAATAAACGAGCCGATATTAGAGCACATGTACAATATGATGAAGTGACTGGTGAACTAATAGGAGGTGAACATCCATGTCACAGAGAATGTAAAGAAGGCGAAGAGCCAATGATTTGTTATTATCATTTTAATTTAGAGTGGTATCAGACCATGAGTAAAGCTTGCTTCAATTGTCCCTACAATATTTCGGACTGTTCGAGACAAGATTGTATTCCTGCGGATGGGATGAATAGACCATTGAATGTCGTTAATAGAAAAATGCCTGGACCGGCTATAGAGGTAAGCTTCCTCATTTTATTCATTATCGCTATATTCAATCTCAAGTATACGATTTTGGTTCCTGATTGAATATTAATTGATTTAACTTGCAAATTTTCTCATTTATCGCTTGGAATATTTCAGGAACAACCAATTACAATATTATATTTTTAGAACATTTTTATAAATCTCTTATATCTCATCTTTAAAAATTTGATAATATCTCATTTATAAGTGGATAATAAGTACATAATTTTATTTATTATCAATTTATTTCCATAAAGTAAAAAGTCGTAAGTAAGTTAAATCTATTTCAGCTGCTAATGGATTAGTTTTGTAAGATATATGTTTTAATCGAAGAGTAAGACAATGTGACAGTGAAATTACAGGACGAAATTTTAGTTCACCGAAATGCCATCATGTCATTGTTTAAAGCACATTATCATTAAAAATTTTTAAAGCAGGTTTATGTATAACGTATACACATTTTCAATATTATTTTTCACATAGAGAGAAGCGAAAGCAAGACAAACAAAGAAACTCCTCAATTTTTGAAAGCCATTACAAAATATTGCTATTAATATGTATTTGAAAGTTTGAATCGAAAACCTTTAATTATTTGCATGCGATCTATTTGCAGCTTTGATCAATATTTCTAATATATTTTATTCATGCACAGTTTAAATTTATAGCGACAATTTTGGCGTTTTAAAATTTTTATACGCGGTTCATGAAAATAAAAGCTCACAGTTCCGTGTCGCATATATTTATGCAAGTTGACGCATTCATTTCGCCTCAAAGTGAGAATTTGTAACGAGATTTTACCACTTTAAACATTTTCATTCCATCCTGACTATGAACTCTGGTTTATTTTGATGTTTAATATTTTTAAGTTAATTTAATACTCTTACAATTATATATTTTAACTGTAGTAGTAATGGTTTCAACGAGTCTTTGTACAAAGTCATCTCATATTTTCAGCTACACCGAAGGGTAAGCAATTTAATGCTAATAATAATATATGTATTCATTATCCTTTTTACAAATGAAAGTCTAAATTGAATAATACACACGACATCACGACAGTTATCGCAGAAAGGGTAGCTGACTACCCTTATATTATGACATTGTCATAATCACATTTCGCTTGGTATGTTGGCATAATAACCCTCCACTACCCCTCCACATCCTCCTTTGAGATTGCGAAAGACCCTATTATTAAATATTATTTTTTTGTAAATATGTACAAAATGTACATAGTATCTGTTTCAAGTATGAGGCTGCTCAGATGAATGAGTTCTCAGAGGTTGCCTGATATCTTATCTTTTCTCTCTCCTGTTATCTTTTCTCTATTTCTTGAATACCATATCCTTTAAGTCGATATAATCTTAGACTCCCCAATCCCTGCACTTGTGCGGTCAGTAACATTACCAGACAACGTTTAACTGTATTTATTTGTTTCCAGATCTGTGAATATGATAGGGTTATAGTGGATGTTGAGAATGACTTGATGACTGAAGGAACCACAGTGCACTGGCATGGGCAACATCAACGAGGATCGCCCTACATGGACGGCACACCCTACGTGACGCAGTGCCCAATATTGCCGGAAACTACATTCAGGTATACTGGTTCACATTTAATATTGTAAATAGGAAAGATTGTTCTTCTTCTATATTAGTAACATCATCCACTGCTGGACATGGGCTTCTCCCAAGGCACACCACTGTACAAGATCTTCAGCTTTTCTCTTCCATTTATTACCCGCCACCTTACGTATCTTTTTGTTCCACCTATATGCGGTAAAGGATAAAAATCCTCAGATATACTTTTATTTGTATGTCATCCATATGTTCCACACCTAAGGTTGCCTTGAAAAAATTGCTTTATGCAATACGGCATTATTGTAGCCTTAGTATACTAATGTGTAGATTTAATATTTATATAACGAAACGTTAAAATTTCGTTTATAATGCAAAAAAAGCATATTCTCTTCTATAAAATACTGGATCCATGTTATAAATTATTTGACCTATAAATTAACAGTGACTTATTGATAAGTTTTACTTACTTACGTAGTGACTTATGGAGCAGCTGAAGTCCAACTACCGCCTGACGGATACGACTTTAGTCTAAGGGCACTGCTAGGGGTTCGGACCTCGGCTCAGGACGTCTTAATTTCGACCTCCACTTGAATTGGATTTTAAGATTTTATAATTTCATTTATCACTTCATTATATTTGTAACGTAAATTATTACATGAATATTCAAAGCAACGTGAGCAAGAGTACACTTATCTCTAAGATCTCTTCCAGCAACCTATTGTTTATCAACGGGTTTAAAAACTTGTAATTTACTGTATTTTTACGTACTTAATTTTTAATTGACAAACAAGAAACTGATATAATTATATGTGCTCTCAACAGATTCCTGTTAAGTTACTTTAACTTTGATCTTGCAGCAACTAATTTACAGTGCTTCATTTATTAATCCCCAATCATTCCGATGCCGATAAACTTGTTCAACCTTGAGACTTTAATGAGTTGCTGAGGAATTTGGAATCAATTATTGTCTCATAGTTGTTATGGCAACACAATATCAATAAATGCACTGTTACGCAATAAGTTCAGCTTGAATTATAATATCGATACTAGGCTTAACGTTATGTTTGATTATTATCTTCTAGCCTAATATTCAACCTCAGTGGTAAAACATTGTAGCAAGAAAGCAAATGAGCATTTTGAATTGTTGATCAGAGTTAAATTCGTAATGATTCATTTAAAAAATTAAATTGAAAATCACATCGGATCCTCAATTAATAAAGTCAAAAGCAAGATATCTACCATTCGGACATAGAGGTTGTTTAAATATGCTGTACCAAGAAATTTACTACTGAGTATTAGATATGCCTAGATATATTCATAATTGAAACAGATACAAATTTAATACTTAATATGTACAGATACCAATTCAACGCAACTCATGCTGGTACACATTTCTGGCACTCGCACTCTGGTATGCAACGGGCTGATGGCGCGGCTGGAGCTTTTATAGTCCGAAAACCCAAGTCACAAGATCCTCACAAAAACTTGTATGATTATGACAGGTGAGTAACACAGACAACAAATTACTTTTTATCTACAAATTCGTTTTCAATAGACATAATATTTTACCGAGGTAGACTTACGAAGTTTGTGAAGTACAAGTTGTTCGCTTGGATATTTCTGTCTGGCCTATTTCAGGCCAAACAACTTGCTTTATAAGTTTAGATTCGATTGAAGGGTGGAGATAAGGCAGTGAAATTATAAGATCTGGAGGCATGTCATCGTAGTCCTCCGCAACGCCAACGCAAGTGTTGAATCACGTTTACAACCTGATTTCAGAGAAACTGTTCGTATATATAGGCGAGAGTTACCATTTAGGTTCTTTACTTTTAAGTAAGTGACTGTCAGGTGCGGCTTAAATGTATTTGCTATTCTAATTATATAAAAAAAGTTAAAGTTCGTGTACGGGTTCAAAGAAATTATCGGTGAGAAATCAGGAAAGGGCATGTTACATTGGTTAGGAATGCCGAAAGGATAGGACCAATGTTTATAATCTTATATATAGGGTCCAGATTAAACTATCTTGATCACTGTTTTCTTTGTAATACCAAAGGCATATCAGATGATGGAATATTCTCCTATCTGTACTAATGGTAAAGTTTTATTGTATATACCCCTAAAATAGCTGATAAAACGAGCAAGTTGTCCATTGTAAGTATAGGTGCATTATTTATATTTTCACATGCTACAGATTAATCGGTAATATTAGTACCTATTATTAGTTTAACATTAGAGGTGACATTACTATTATAACCATATAGTTTTTTTAAAAGAAAACAATTAATATTTCTTATTTAACAACCACAGTTTTTTCGGATCTGAGAAACGTAATTAATTCAATATTTTTTTAAATAATACTCAGAAAGGTATCTGGTAACAGAGATATATTCGTTATTATAGATTTCCAGGAAATGAAAATGTTTATATATATTTTGTAATGTTTAAGTATACAATGCGATGTTGAATACTTTGAATAATTATTATAACACAATTCAGAGAAACGGTAATAGAGAGAAATACGCGCTTTGAAAACTGAAGCTTTGAGTAAAACCTCTTTTTTATTTTACACAGGTTTGACGCCAATTAGCGCCGTATTTGTTCCTCTATGTCTTGTATTATATAACATGTGGTGAGAGGCGAGTTTACTGATCTTTTCTCTATTCTTATAATTAAAGAGAGTAGGAATGAACTACTTTTGCATTAATCATGGTCACTCAATCGCAGTTGCGATCTGAAGTTATGTAATAAACATACCGACTATATACGGATATATGTACTATCGATGTAATTGTTTTTTATGGATGATGGAATAATATACCTGCCAGCGTTTACGCTGGCAAAGCACCAGTGGAGGATGCTAGAGCGTGAGTGGAGATTGCTAGCAATAGAGTCATTTGTCCATATTACTAACACCTCCTCCCCTTTCACCTCCACTGTATACATTTTAAACCGTGAAAAATTTAATCAGGGCTAAATTTTACTAGATGACCCGCGCAAATTCGCCCAATTTGCATCACATTTGACATTTATTATTATATTTCGCATCATTTATATAATGTCGTTTTAAATTAAGGCCTATGTGTTATTAATTTATATTACTTTAAACTTTCATCAAAATCCGTTCGGTAGTTTTTGTGTGAAAAAGTAGTATAATAATAGTAAGATACTTCCACTTGTTCGTGTAGTTAACAATGTAATAGCAGACAGATGGTGGGCGGTGGAGTGGGACATTTGGATCCCTAAATTATGTTTGAGCGCAATGATGGCTGGCTCATTCATTAACCTGAGAAAAAGAAGGCCAACTAAGATAGATTTTCTCTTATCCAACCGTCTATGATATTTAATATATCATCTAAAACTGATTACTTATAACGGGCGCTGATTGTATGGAATTACCACTATGCCCGATTTTGATTACTCTTCTAATTTTATATAATTAATATTATGACTCACTTCGACTGTATTTGTGCAATTGAATCAGAAATAAATTTTATATGAATTTTATTGGATTCCATTTCTCTTATTGTATTCACACAAGATCTCAAAAATGTAATTATGTATATTTTTATGTAATTCTAATTGCTTTATTAAAGCCTGATGCTTTGCAAGATTGTCCATTGGTTTTCTTGACCGAATATAGGAGAGAGAGAGAGAGGTACATTCCAAATGTGCGGTATAAACGATAAATAACTACTAATAACGATAAATAAATATATTGAATCGGTGGTATTCAATTATTATTGTGAGAGAAGAAAATTTTTATTACATATAATAGTTTTTTTGTTATTAATTTATGTTTAACAAAAATATTACACTTTGTTTGACAGTTTTGTAGTAGCATAAGTGACAATAGTTCTATATGATACTTTAATTATGTTTAAAATACTCATTTTACTACTAGAATAAAATATCAATGTATTTATTTGCCAACAAACTGTCAAGCAATTAGGCGAGAACTGTAAAATACATGTAAAACCTGTATAACTTTTATATAATAAATAAAAAAAATATTACATATTTTTATGTGCTTATATTACGTTTAATTTAATAAAACATAATTATTGTTTATGATCTTTTTCAGATCTGAACATGTGATGATTGTGACCGACTGGATACACGAGTTATCAGTGGGCATGTTCACCGATCATCATCATTCGAAAGGTGATAACAAACCGCCCACGTTACTTATAAATGGCGTTGGCAGATTCAAGGTGTTCAATACCACGAATACTATCAAACCTATATATATGAGGGCGGCAACATTTAATGTTGAACAAGTAAGTAGATATATATATATATTTTTTATACTACTATGGTGACAAACAAGCATACGGCCCATCTGATGGTAAACGGTTACCGTAGCCTATGGACGCCTGGGGTATCACGTGCGCGTTGAAAACCCCCATTTCAGTAAAAGAACAGATAATAAACTAAGTAACTCAATCATTTTCCATTTATTATGTTTGCACAACAATAGTTATTCTCTGCACGATCAAAAGTTAACCGACTGGTAAAAAATGCCGGTGCTAAGTCTGCCATTTGTAAATATTTGATTTGATTTATTAGTTATCTAGTCCCAAGCTAAGCAGAGTTCTAATGGGTACTAGATAACTGATATACTAACTTAGGTACCTTTTTTGTAAATACATATATACACAATTTTGAATTCTAAGTAGGTACTTAGAAAACATCAAAAACGACACATATAATCATATTCATGAAAGCAAACGTTTGCACCCTGCGAGGTATAGAATCGTAACTATTGGATCTAAAACTGTGTGCTTAACCGCGAAATCACTGAGGTTGTGTCACATATTTCAACTGTCAAGCAAGTTCTCGGTTTGAACGTAGCGACATATCTCAACACACAAAATCAATTCTATAGAATTGATGTTGTTATAGTGTATTACATCAAATCAACAAGTGGACTATATTTTATATTCAAACATACTATTATTACATATTCAACTAAATTTCATCACTACAATATAGGCATGTGTAACGGAGATAGAGCTCTCACTAGTTTTAATATTAGTCGTATTAAGATAATACCAAATTAAATACTTACTTACGTTTGCATTATTTTAATTCTTTAAGAAATAAAAATAATATATGTCAAATGTACATAAAATAGAAAATAATATTGCATATACAGAAGATTTAATATTCGTCTTCCAGCGCCTAGCGTTTCGGAATAGCAAATAGGCGTGTGAATTTTTCAACGAGCATACGACTGTAAGTTGGACTAAGGGAACAACTACTCAGTATATTTACTATTTATGGCATTTAGGCGACTGTAAAATTGTTATTGTGAATAATGCAATAATAAATGGACGTTCCAATTATCTTCAGGACTCAATACTAAGAGTGTCGTACAAGGATAACTGTAATAGTTTATTTTCATAGCGCAATTTATTGTTATTAGCTTCGGTGGTCTTGCAGTTTAACACACTGCATTACTTTCGATGGTCGCGGGTTCGATTCCTCGCACGGTGCAAACATTTGTATTTATAAGTATGCTTGTTTGTATCGGTTTAGGTATTTATTATATATATATACACGAGTATATATTACGTATGTATTTACAATACATATATAAGTATTTACATCTGTGTCTTATAACACAAGTTCTATTTACCATGGGACTAGATGACGCTGTGTTGTCCAGGGTTATTTATTATTATTATTACTAGTGTTATAAGAGAGTAGTGGCCTAATGGTTGACATTTCGATCACGATCCAAAAAGTCTATGTCCCAAATGGGTCAATTACTGATTAAATTTCCGGTAATAGAAACACTGATAACAAACGTAGTTAATCGGAGTCTTTACATTAGATTCCATAAACGGGGTGTACCTTGTGATGTATGGACATAATCAAGGGTTGTGTCGACTGTAACACCATAGTTGTCTACACTTCTTATTACCTCATTTGGAAAAACAGTCCTGAATGCATATTTATTTTAATAGATTACCATTATTTATGTTATTAAATGCTAGTATAAAATGATGAATATTTTAAAAAAATAATTACATTACAATTATTTGTCGAGTATGTATGTAAGTGTATAACTTAAGAATGACTGCTTTGATTTTGTCATACCAGAGCGGTATATGTACATACGATAGTGGTTTTATCATTACATCCGTTTCATGCCGAGGCGGGCAGTTAATAAAAATGCAGATTTAAAAAAGATAATACTTCGTATCATTTGGAAATCAGTGGTATATTTTTTCCCATTTTAAGCACCTTAACTGCTTAATATCGACTGAAAGTCAAATGATACTCACTGAAATTTTTTTTTTATAGTACTTATTTATTATGTAAAATGGTCTTTGTTTTCAGGGCTACAAGTATCGTTTTCGTGTAATAAACGCCGAGTTCCTGAATTGTCCTATCGAACTGTCTATAGATGGGCATAACATCACTGTAATAGCATCTGATGGCTACGATTTGAAGCCTATTGTCGGTAAGTTTATAAAATATTACTAATAAACGTTAACTGTGGATGGTAAGGGAGGAGGAGAAAGAGGAAGGCCGAAAAAGAGATGGATGGACTGTGTGATAGATAATATGGCAAGAAACGGAGTAAATAACGAGATGACTGCGAACAGGGATGAATGGAGAGAAAAACATACTACGGCGACCCACAAATTAATGGGATAAGGAAGAAGCAGATGATGGTGACTATAAAATGTTTAGTTAGCCAGTAAATAATCGTGGGCTGTTGTTTAATATAGCCTAACTTAGACTCTATTATTGTTAACCGGGTTAAGACCCCGACCTCGAAAACATCCTATTAATAATTATAAATAATCCAAACGTATCTATATATATAACTCAAAGGTGACTGACATAGTGATCTATCAATGCACAGTCCAAACCACTGAACGGATTGAGCTGAAATTTGGCATGCAAGTAGATGTTATGACGTAGGCATCCGCTAAGAAAGGATTTTGATAAATTCCAACCCTAAGGGGATAAGTTAACGCGAGAGAAGCCGCGGGCAAAAGTTAGTGTATAATATAATGCCAGATTCGAATACAAGAAAAATAATGGTGTGCAATTTTTGTTTGTAAATAAAGTGGCAAACGAGCTGACTGTAAGTGGCAACTGTACCTAATATTCATGATCAGCATCACAGAATTCTTACATCTCTTGATAGGGTAAGGAAATTAAAGACTCCATACCCTGTAATTTCACTGCCTTATGCCTTACCCCTCAACCAAATCACAGTTTAACACCAAGCTGATAACCGACACAGAGGCAGACTACTTCGTGCAAAGTATACCTAAATTTAATAAAAAAGTATTGAAAAATTGTAATATAAAATAACTCAATTTTCTCTGAAATGAAATATATTTGTCGGAAGTTTAAAATTTCCAAAGTACTCGTAACTTATTCTGTGAAATATATAATATATAATCATTATTTCTTTTGTTTAAAAACCTCACTTTCATTTGCCAACAGATATAAATTTAGCTACAATATTAATGTAGCAACACTTAATATAATTTGTTATTTAACAATTAATCTATGTATCTTGAGCATATTTATTTTCATTCTCTACTAAAGATTTTCCGTATAAAAATTTCTCAAAACAACGACCCCGTTTATCATCGGTCATCAACCCTTTCCAATCCTTGTTCTAATTATCTTAATTGTGATTATTTAACACAGTATTTCAATGAAAATCTAACGAATTGTGTTTCACCGTGAGAAAATTAATTTAAAAAAGGCAAAGTTAAAAAACGGCGATAAAAACGGCTGAAGTAATATTTTGGTACAAGTCGAAATGAGATGGAGTTAAAGATTTATACAACGTTTAAAGTTCACAATGTTCGGAGCCCATTTAGCTGCTTTCATTTCCATGTCCATTTATATTCAAATCTAAGCCTTTTTTGTTCAAGGTGAGTTTCTTACTCATTATTTTAGGCTTCATAGATTTATTTATGATAATGGAATGGCACACAAGCTGACGAACCACCGGATGGGAAGTAGGTACCATCGCCTTTAGATATAAATAACAATACGTAAGTTACATCCTTGTGAAACACCCTTAGTACCCCTTTAGTGTTGTCATTTCTAAGGACTAAGCTGTCATGCCTCGTATATCAACCCTTCAATTAAAACACAGCTTCAAAGTAAGCTTCTTTAAAATAGGTGGGATCTCATACATATACTTTGTACTACCCCGATAAAATAATAATAAATAACCCAGGACAATTAATACAGCATTATCTAGCCCGAGATAGTGTTATGAGTGATGACAACTGGTATAAACACTTAAATACATTTTTTGTGCTGTGAAAGGAATCGAAGTCGCTAGTGTCATCGAAAGCAAGGCAGTGTCCTAAATCACTTAACCACCGAGGTCATCATTGTGTTTAGCTCACATAGTTACATTATGTATTCATATATTTTACTCGTAAAAACCATCACACATTTCCGATAAGAGTCGGACGACCCGTGTCGACGACACCGTTTGATTCGCGCAAAGGTTGTTACGCACTGCCCTTTAGAACGTACCAATTGACACGGGTCGTCAGATAAAGATAATATGAATCCACGTTAATACATGTGAATTACACGTGGGAGATAACAAGAATATCGTAATTTTCATTATAATTAATATACATTACCCACTTTTGTGCGCTAAAGTACAAAATAATCTAAAAGAATTATTACATACATTTTCCTAGAATATTGTGCTATCTTGAGTTATTATTATTTTTGACGACAGAAAATATGGTGCATCGCAACAGCAACTTTATGATTTTACCGGCTTTATGTGTTTCCATATTGTTCTGCAGGTAGATAACAATGTTAAACAATTTCTAGCATCAAAATGTTTAATATACACCTTTTGATGCCGAATAATGCATCCAGCTAAGGGAGAAGGGATGTTTAGTAACGGGGCCAAATGGTTTCATTGTTACAATGTTTCCTAACAGGTCTTTCATGCGGTTCCTCCTGAACCTAATATCGTTATCGTAGAAGGATGCAATATTTCTTTATAATCTACAAAATTCTTTTACAATATGTTCAGCTGTAATAGAATAATTGGACTTGACCTTTGGGTCTGAGGTCAACAGTTTGAATCTGCCCGCACCACAAAACTTTCATTATTAATTTTGGAGTACATTTCTGCCTAAATCCAGTTATAAATAAACGCTTATAATAAATCAAATTAAAACGTGAGACGGCGGAAGGCATTTATTGAACGTTAGTTTTAAATACACGGAAATATAGGCTTACAAATTGCGTTTTCTATAACGTCGTTAGCTGACAATGCCATTATCACCATTATCCTAGATAAGACAGTCAGTACCTTATCTAGGATAATGGTCGTGAAGGTGGCACAGATGTAAAATTATAAGATGACGATGAAGTCAGGTTGGTTAGAAGCGAATTCACCAGAAATTAACCACTTAAAGGTTTTCTAAAAGGATCTTATGAAGGTCGTCTAAAAATGGTGCATGAGCAAACAAACAGATATTGTATTTTATTTATTCATGTTACATTTTGTAGTACATACCAGTATCATGATAAGATTTTTTGATATAACCAGAAATGTGTCTATGAATTCAATTATATGCAAAATTTCACTTTATACAAGTCGTAAAAAACACATATTTCATTTAAAGTGCGAAAGATATATAAATTTTTAATTTAAAAATTCCCATTTAGACGGGGGAGTTAAATAAAATCCTTTTATATAGTGAAAAAGGAATACAAAAATGAAAATACTGTGCAATTACACTTTTAAATTAGGCTATTCACACATTGTAAGACTGAAGTTTTTGATTTGGTAATAAAACACAACTGTTCATTTTATCTGTTCGTAGTCAAAGTATATTTCGGTATGTTTATGCGCAATAATGCTAATAATAACTCTGTACAATTTACAAAGCACCTTCTAGTCCCAAGCTAAGCTGAGCTTGTGTTATGAGTATTACAAAGTAGATAGAAATGTAGTATATATAAAAAACACCCAGACTGACACAAATATACTTAAGAATACAAATATTTACACCGTGCGTGCGTTTGATTCCAAACCTGTGATCACCAGAAGTAAGGCGGCGTGCTAGATTGCCAAACCACAGAGGCCGTCTTATATAAAATAATATGTATGGGAATATTAAATTAAAAAGGGGAGGCAACGCGTGGAGGTCAACCTGGTCCATTGCCAGCGAATCCCTCTGAATTCCCCTTCCGTTCAGATAGGTATGTATCGTCATGTACGAAAATCTTTGTCTAGATGGACAGTGAAATTTAAATTGTTGGATTCCACAAGGACAGACAGAAAAATAGTGGGCAGCTAACTAGGGCAATAGGAAAAAAGCTGACTCGTATAATTGAAACTCTAGTGGGCTTGTTATAAAATGCAAAATGCAATCACTCGGAATACATCCCGCAGAGATGACTTCGATAAAATATTGGTGGATAGTATTAAATAGAATTGCTATTTTGATGGCTCTTAAATATTTAACATTAGCCAAATATTAACAACTATTTTTAATCTTCTTTCTTTTCATAGCTGAAGGACTTGTTGTAGTATTTACTATGTAATCAATGTCTTTAAAACTTTAAAGTGAGTAAGTGACTTCGTTAGTTTTTTTACTAAAAATTTAATAAATTTAATCATAATATTTATTATAATTATTAAAACTTTAAATGGTACGCTGGTATATTTATATTTTTCAATCGTTATATTAGTGTCCACTTTATCACCACGTATGAAGCTGAACTATAGTAGTATAGTATTGGAAATCTATAAAGCTAAATGCGTGCATACATTTTGTAAAATTCAATCAGTAAAATGCACTTTAATATCCTAAGCAGACCGTTTAGAATATTGGAAGAGGATAGACGATAAGACGGTGATAATAACCTCACTTTTACGTAGATATGTATGTAGCTTGGTTCAGGTGGTGTATATGACCTAACTAGTAACATGTCTAGACTTTACACACGTGAAAATTTAATAAAATCTGTAAGTAAGATTTAATATTCCTAATAATTAATAATTAATAATAATTTTAATTTTATTTATTAAAATTAATAATTTTAATATTCCTTGATAATGTAACTATCTTTCTATAAGTCAAAGAGTTTTGAAATCCGATTAGGAATTTCTTGAGTTTTTCCATTACGAAGAAAAATATTTTTTTTTATTTATTTATAATCTTTATTATTGCATCAATTACAGAACAAAAAAAAAAACAAATCGAAGAGCTGGCAGCTACCTTGAACAAAGAATTAGTCTAGCTATTCAAAGAGGGAACGCTGCCAGTATCTTCGGAACTTTGCCTAAAGCGACCTCTTTTAATAATATATTTTAGTTTTGTATTATATTTTTTAAGTTTTTTAATTTTAGGTTGTAGTTGTACAATTAAGTTATGTAAAAAAAAAAACAATTAAAATATACAATATACATTGACTGATACAAAAGGCGGTCGGTCTTAT